CGACGAGCGAGGTGGGGGGGGGGGGGGCAAGCATGCAGCTTTACATGCATTTATATAGCTGTGCTGGAAACAAAAAGCATAAATAGCCCAGGACAGAGGGTTATTCCCAGAGAAAGCTCTTTCCCTTTGTCATTCCCTGCTGGTATTGCTGTGCTGGACCTCGGGCAGAGGGACCACGCTTCCAGTGCCACCAGCAGCAGTGTCTCCAAGGGAGGTGAATGAATGGGGACATGGTCCGGATCATACCAGCAGCGTCACTAGGAGGGCAGAAACGGCTGGTGCTGGGTTTGAGATGAGCTGTCGTGTCCACAGGTCTTGACCAAGCTGGTCCACAACTTTGCAGCTGGAAAGGGGATGTTTCTTCTTGGGGTTCCCAGGCTGGGTGTGGGGGGGGACACAAGGCTCTGCTCTGGTGTTTGCTGGGGGTCAGGGGCAGCAGGGATCCTTTCTGGCACTCCTGCAGACCGCGGAGGGGGTGGTGGGGTTGCCCCCAGCCAGGCTGCTCGGCTCTTGCTGCTGCACTGCTTTACTGTTGGGGGGGGGGGGGGGGGGGCAGGAAAAAAGCCTGCTTGTGAATTTTTTTTCACAGTTTTCTTTTTGCCAGACCTACTCACTCCCTCTTGTAAAGGTTCTCGCAGGTGCTTAGGGGAGGGAGAGCAAGAAAAGAGTCTAAAGTAAGAGGCAGTGAAACGCAGGTGTCTGCAGAGCTAAGGCAGAGCTTTCTAGCACTGCTACTGTCCTGTCTGTTCCTGGCTCAGCCCTGGGCGGGAGGGGGCAAGGATCTTTTGACCTGCCTGAAACAACTCTATAAACTTGCATTTTAAATGAAAATGGAAGACTGGAGTTAAGTCTTGTTTTATTCCTAAATGGGATGTGTTTTGGCTTGGCTTTCCAAATGGATCCACTCCTGGAGCAGTGCTGGAGATCTGTGTGCTCGCTGGGACTTGCTGAGTCCATCTCCGGTGGAGCAGTTCAGCAGCCGGCGTCTGGAGCAGAGACCCCAGGTGTCTCCACCTGTGCCCCCTCGTGTTGCTGCGTGGCTTTTGGCAAGTGTCACCATGCTTTAAATGGCTGCGCAGCACCCGGCCGGCAATGGCTGAGCTAGAGCCTGTGGTTTCCCAAAGCTGCCCAAGGGTCGGGAACGCATCTCTCCTGGTCATCTTATGGAAATGGGGCTTCCGTGCAAAAGGGTGGGTGGAAATGTTGACATCCATGCATGGGAGGGACACCGAGAATGTGAAATAAAGCACCAAAAAAGGGTGGGGAGATGCTTCCTTCCCCGGCAGCTGCAGCCAGTGCTCCCCGGGGACAGTGTCCCTGGGCTTGGGACCTGCCGAGGAGGTGGGAGGAGGCTCATGTAGAGCTCTGTTTCTTGCTTGCCTGAGTCTGCACGTCTGTCCTGCTAGGGATTTTTGGACTTCAAGCAGCTAATTCTTGCTTCAGTCTTATCAGCCCGCTTGGGATGTGTCCCCGTCACGTGGCAGTCAGCTGCTTGCCTTCCTCTGACTCCCACCGGCATCCGTCGCTGGATCTCGGGGCTCTGCTCCTCTCCCGGTGGGTCCACACACGTAGCAGCACCCGGGGCTGCTCGATGTCTGAAGCAGCGCTCCCCCACCTCCTCCCACATTGTGGTTTTAATTAAAGTCTCTGTGTTTTGCACCGGTGACTGTGTTGGTCTCTCTCGGACTGGGGTTTGCTCCCGCTTTGGGAGCAGAGCCAGCGAAGCCGATGGCTGGAGCCTTCGGCACAGGGAAGAGGCTTTGTGGAGGCACTTGCTGTGTTGGTGGTTGATCTCTTGCTTGCACTAAAATTGACTTGTTATTTAACTGCATGAAGCAAGTATATCCAGTCTGTCTTTGTATCCTTCCTAGGTGTCTTTCTGTCATGTAGTATTTATTTATTTAACTTCTTTGCTATGTCCATCCCCCTCTCCCCCAGCTTGGATTTGGCAGGTAGGTGATGTGCGAAGCCTGTTCCCAGGCCAGCAAATACCTCTTGAAGATCAGAGACTCTCACAACCAAAGGACGTTTGAGCCTTTTTTCTGAGGCAGGGCGCGAACTGGAACCTTTTCCTTCAGATGTTTTTCCTGTCCTGCTGTAGGGGCTGACTCAGGACTTCCAGTACCAGTTTAGCTCATCAGCTTTGTTGGATTTATATAGAAAATTATACCTGGACCTTCTCACGAGCGGTTGGAGCTAGCGTAGATGTGCTTAGCAAATGCTGGTTTTCTTGTCACTGGGTTATATCTTCTCTGTCAACGCAGGCCAACTGTGTGAGTGCATGTTGCTAAAAGTGGCAGCAGCGTGGAGGGATGGATGGTGAGCAGAAATGTCATCTTGGATCACAGATGTTTTCTTTGAAGGCACTTGAATTCATCTTGAACCCGTCCCTTGGTGAACATGACGCGCAGTGAAGGGGAAGCAGACGTAGTGTGGGTTTCTCACCATCTTCCCGCTCAGCCCACTGACCAAGCCGGTTTTTTTTAAATTCAGTTTTTAGAACTGGATCCTTCAGGGTTGCAATACGTAGGCCAGTTCGTTTTTCTGTTTAACAGCTGTTGCCTTTACATGGGGCGCATTTCGCAAATCGCTGTCAACTTTCCCCTGTCTCTTTCTTCGCAGCCCTCCTTTACAAATGATCGCTCATGGCAGCCAGTAATAAATGAAGTAAGAGTTAAGAGAAGCAGCCTCGTGCAGTGATAGTAGTAAAAGAATAAAAAATAGAACTGTTTCATGCTATTGTTGCTGTATTAACTTGTCCCTGGTGTGTGGCTCAGTTCCATTACGTAGTGCTGGGTTCCTGCTATTAAATAAACAAAGACGTCCCCGCTGCAGGACCAGCATTTGTTGAGCAGCAAAATCTGAGCTGGCGGTTTCCAGGACACAGATGTACTTCGTACCCCAAGGAACTGGTGCTGAACCACGCAAGAGCCCTGGATGCTACGCTGCGTCCCTGCAAGTGCATTGACTTCCTTCCTGAGGGAGGGAAGGAGGCAGAAATAAGTGGGAGAAGGTGGAATTGGTGGTTAACGATAACTGTTAACGTAACCTGAAATCTCCCGCTGCCAACGTGCCGGTGGGAACCTTCTACGGTTGAGAAGCTCACAGGGATCTCGTTACTGCTTCAACAAGGACTCTCCTGGCTCAGATGTAGAATTTAACAGGGCTTTTGGAGGTCGTTTCATGCTCTAATAGCCAAGAGGAGAGATCTTCAGCCTTTAACGTTGCCTCCCCTTCAGTGGATGAGCACTCTTCCCATTGACATCAGGGCAAACTCCTTGAGCGTCCTGGGGACAGACATGTCTTCCTCTGGACTGATCTTGTAAAAATTGTGCCAAACTTCAAACTAGGATGAGCCAAATTGAAAAAGGGCTGCCTCCGCATCAGATTTAGTGAGGGCTGAACCAAGCATCTTCAGCTTGGAGATATGCTCATTCTGAAGAGCACAAGGTTGTGAGCAGGCTTCGGAGGTTAGAAAAGGCTTTTGAGGGGGTGGAGTGGGTGCTTCTGCTTGCTATAAAAAGCCTGGGCTTGGGAATGTCTACATCAGCCGGCTCTACGCAAGGCGTAAATACAGTTGTTGCTAAAATTGGAACGAGTCACTCCCCATGTTCCCAGTTGCAACTGTAACACAGATAATAAACAACATCGAAATCCCTCATCAGAATTTTGGCTCCTTAATGCTCGGTGCGTCCAAACCCATGGAAACAGGAGTGGGGTCCTGCTCCAGCAGGCACCGAGGTGTGTTTAAGTCCTCCTGAACACACATTTGCTTCCTTTTATAAAAATGGATCAAGGATGTGCTCAAGGATTTGCTGAGCCTATAAATGGAGGAATGGGAGAAAGCAGAGGAGCAGTTCCTTATCAGTTCTTCTGTTTCTAAGACACCTGGGAGAGGTAAACCCAAGCAGACTGCACAAGTCAAGGTACCCAAATTACCTATTTTGACATTAATTCCTCCCAATTTTATGTGTGGAAAGTTTTTTTTTGGAGATGGTGAGGTCTACAACCTTTGTGTAGATACAACACTTCAGGTTTCAGCTGGGAGTGGTAATGCTGCTAACAGAAATATATGTTGTACTATTGCTAAAAGAGCAAAGCATGCCAATATTCCTAAGAGCCAATATGTCCTATAACGGCTACGAACGATATAAAATTGACTGGTATGGTGGTTAGAAAGAAATTCCAGCTATATTGTAAGATACTGGAGCGTATTCTTTCATTGGGTACTAGCTGATCACTGAAAGCGACTGCTCTGCAAAGGGTCTTACTTTTCCATGTTCAGAGCATATACCTTTAAAAATATTAGTTGAGGTGTTACATATCCCCTTTGAAAAAAATTCCCTTGTAGGCAAGGTCGTGGTTTAACCCCAGCCGGCAACTAATCGCCACCCAGCCGCTCGCTCACTCCCCCCAGTGGGATGGGAGAGAGAATCGGAAGGGTAAAAGTGAGGAAACTCGTGGGTTGAGATAAAGACAGTTTAATAGGTAAAGCAAAAGCC